AATTTCACTTCTTTTTGCAGTAAGCTTACAAAAGAGAGTCAGCCACTTGGTGGGGAGGAATTTGAGAGATTAATTGAAAAGTTAAGGGTACCCTTGGAACAGGTGTTAAACTCCCCCCCAATCCCTGTCACTTTTGCCATCTAACTGCCTGGCACTGCCTGTGATGCAGACAGCATTCCATTGCGCTGGTTCCAAGTTCATGAATTCCTACTGTCTTTATGAGATTGGGTTATAGTTACACTATCTGAAACGTGCATCCAAGAATCTGGGCGCGTCTGTGCCAGGATTTTGTGTTAACCTGACGGGATTGTTTGAAAGGGGCTACTCTGATTGTTTGAAAGGCAGTTAGTTCTTCGGTGACTCACGTGGTGCTGTCACTTTACTTCCTTACACCACCTCCTAACCTCACATCCTGCCTTCTTCCCTGCAGACTGCAATAAGGTCACTGACCAATGCCTGTCTTTCTTCAAGCGCTGTGGAAATATCTGTCATATTGACCTGAGGTACTGCAAGCAAGTTACCAAGGAAGGCTGTGAGCAGTTCATAGCTGAAATGTCTGTGAGTGTCCAGTTTGGGCAAGTGGAAGAAAAACTCCTGCAAAAACTGAGTTAGTCCAAGGACTAGTGTGTAAATATGGGGTGGGTGGGTGGGGAGGGACGGGGCCACGGGAGGGTAAAAGACTTGACAGAAACTAGGGCTTTTATTTTCAATTTGGAGCTTGGAATAACAGACCACAGAACGATTCCATTTTGCAAGTCTTGCCAAGGCAGTGCCGTTCCACCACCCATTTTGGGGATGAGTGAGCCGGACACTTGGGTTATTATGAAGAGTAACTGCACTGCTTTCTGGACCATTTCTAAGGCGGCCTTTACCGAGAAGACATTCCTGTTGGAGAGGAGGATGAACTTGGGAGAAATTCTCTTACCGAAGCATGAGCTTAGGAATTTTTTTTTTTTTTTTTTTTTTTTTTTTTGTGATGGTGTTTTATTCTGGACACCTCACTCCTTGCAACTCTGGGGGTTTTGGTGTCAACATTAAGCGGACCACACAACACATCTGCCGTCTTGACATACTTTGTTTGGTTTTGTTACATCTTACATTATGAGGAATTATTTTTGTACAAATTGTTTAAAAGTTATTTATGCAAGGTTTGAATGCATATCAGTGTTTTTATTGTTTTATGATTGCCAACTTTCCCTGGACTTCATCAACCCAAATAATCCATCTATACATGTGCCCAGACCTGGCAGAGCAGTCTGAGCCTTCCGGTTTAAAGCATGTTTACCTGGAAGCGAAGAGCCTGCTTTGGGCATTAAGAAGTTACATAAGCATGTTGTGCATATATGTAAAATATAGTGGAAGTAAGACACTTTGCCAAGGTTCCCCTGTATAGAATTCACCCTTTTCTCAAAAATTCTAAAATTGAACTTCGACCTTTGCACTCAGGAGGCTTTGCTCCAGCATGAGCTCTTGGATTCTACATAGATCTAATTTATACGGTGAGTCAATAAGTAAATGACCCAACGTAGCCTTTCTTTTCCTCTTCTTTCTCCTTTGAAGTGTGAGCAGAGTTCTCGTTTCAGGTTTATAACATGGCTGTTCCCTAGTTGTAAAGATATGCATTCATAAGTGCCATTGTTGTTTGGTGGTGTTTTCCTAGACCTTCCCGACTCGGTTTTACCTTTGTTGAATTTGTATAAACAATTGTACAAAAAAAAACAAAAAACAAACCCACTCTTGGACTTTGAGGGTTTCTGTTCTAGGAGTGGACTAGACATTTGATTAGAAAGTCTAGGGGCACGAATCTCAACACTAGTATATATTGTTTTGTAGCCAAACAAGCTATAATTTCTTATTCATCTGAGAAGTTGCAGTAGTCCCTTGGGAGAGGGGAAGAGAGAGATAGAAACATTAATGATGACAGAGAATCATTGTCTCGTGCACGCCCCCTACTGTGGATCGAGCCCACAACCCAGGCATGTGCCGTTGGTCGAGACCTCCTGTTTCATATATGGGTCGATGCTCAACCACAGGCATACCAGCCTACTTTCCCCATCTTTAGAGAGAGATCTTGCTGTCTATGGCTAATAAAGGTAATGGGAAAGAACTATGCTACACCAATGTCCACTTGGTATTTTTACTGCCAAAGGTCGGGGGGGGGGTAGAGTCCATTTTCTCAACCTCCCATTGGAGGCCACATCCTGTGCTTCAGTAGCCTTGGGCCAGGGTAGCTGGAGACGCTTGGTTATGAGGTAACTTCCTCAGGTGGCAGAGGCAGAAACCAGTGAGAAGTAATTTTAGATTTAACGACAGAGCTTTGCAACCTTGTACTCAAATATAGAAACAACTGCTCTAGTGAATCTGAAAATGGAGAAGATAACCCCACTTCCTATCCCCATAATAATTTACAACACAAAGCCTTTTCTGCTAACGGTAGTTTTCATATTGCCTGCCTCTCCCGTTATCTGTTTGTCATGGCAAAATGATTTTAGATCCCATCTAGGTTTGTGCCTTGTTAACTTGAATCCATATATTCTTCCTGACTTAGACTGGAGACATCTGAAGCTGTTGCACCCCATAATTTAATTTGGGAGATGCATTTAACAGAAGATTAGTTTAGCCACTCTGTGGTTTATTTATAAAACACGGCTTACCCTTGCAAGCCCGACAGTTTATCATAGAGCTCCCCTATTAGAGGTCAAGTTTTGGTTTTCTTGACAGCCTGAGTTCTCCGAACCCTAGGTAAGTTCCCCTGATGTCCAGTAGAGGCATCCTCTTCCTTGGGAATGGTTTTAAGAAACATGGTGGTTTTCAGGTAAATAGCCCTGTGGTAGAGGCCCCTGATTGTCCTATAACGTTTCTGAGAGCACCCATGCTTGCTGAGAGGAGGTTCCAGAGCTGGGAATACGTAGCTACCAAAGGACAATCCACAGAGCCAAGACACAGGTCTCACCAGACTTGAGGCAGGTTGCCATGGTGGTTTTAACAGCTGAGCTCCCTCCCATACACTGAAAAATCCAGCTGAGGTTTTACCCCGGCATCCAGCCTCTGTACAGACTTGTCATTTAAAAATGAGCTTCAGAGAGGGCCAGGCTGAGTTAGATGCAAACATCTGCTCTGATGATGTAATGAGAGTAACATAAACCAGAGGTGGTGCTTCCTGTTAGATCTCGGCTAAGCACCCGGGAAAGTGAGGCTCCTTTCCTTCTTCCTCTAGGAAACCTTATGTTTGCAAAGGAAGACACTGACTCCTCTAAAGCATCAAGAGCCCCATCCTTTTACCTCGTGAGGACAGGGACAAGGAGATGTTGTTGTATTCCGTTTTGGACTTTCAGAATTTTATTCATTTGATTTATTATGTATTCAGAAAATTCACTTCAAGAGGCATGATATGCCAGCTATAAAATGCAGACTTCAGAGAGAATTGTTTGCTTTTTGCCAAACAAGTTAGTAACTTGTAATCCAGTTATTCCAAGTGTCAAGCCTGTTAGGGTAAAATTTTGTTGGCTTCTCACTAAACCAAGGTGATTTTAAAACACTACTTAAAAAGATCCTCCATTAAGTTTTTTATCCTTTTGCTAAAAATAAGCATTTGGAACTTATATAAATCTAAGAGGAAATCATTAAATAAGTTGTTTTAAGCTGAGACTATGTGCAAATAAATCTTTTCTAATTTAACCTTAGACAAATCAGCACCTACTGCTCAGCTTCTAAATGTGCTTGCTATTGAGGGCTGGCCTGGATTTGAAGACTTCCCAATTTGTGGGGAAGGCTGAATTTCTGGAGTTCACTGTCTCAATAAGTAAGGCAAGGTAAGTGCTCGGAAAGCTTCAGCAAGGTGCCGAGTCTTATGTCTTCTGTAGGAAGGCAATGACCTGGTTAGTGTGAACCACAACTGGCACCCACCCTGGGCTCCTACAGAGAAGGGAGCTACCGCCCTAGTGGTTTGATTCAGTGGATAGAACGTTGGCCTGCGGACCAAAGGATTCTGGTCAGGGGCACATACCTCGGTTGCAGGCTCCTCCCTGGTCTGGGCCGTGGTCAGGACGTGTGCAGGAGGCAACTAATCGATGTTTCTCTCACATCAATGTTGCTATCTTTTCCTCTCTATTCCACTCTAACATCAATGGGAAAATGTCTTCAGGTGAAGATTTCTAAAAAGGGGAGCTAGACCAGGTGCGGACACCCATTCGCACTGTACCAAGTGAATTAGAAACTAAGGACAATGTAAAGAAAAGCATTTTTGAAAATCTAATTTTATTCCTAAAGTTCAAATTAGCTAGCAGTAGCACTGAAAATACACTTTCACTATACAAAAGACAGTGTAAACCAATTACACATTAGTAAAGAATTTAACACACACTTTTCTCTGGTGAAGAAGCTAGATGCAGCCCTTGCTATAAAAAGCTGTACCTGAACAGAAATGGACATGTTTATTAGTCTCTAAGGCCCTGGCAGTTGACTATATAGAAGGATGTCAGTGTTCTCAATGAAATTTAAATTCAGAAATAGCAACAATGTGGAAACTTACATTCATCAAATAGTAGCATTTAAAATAACCATGACTAATAAAGTAAACATTCAGAGGTGCCACTGCTCAGCATGTACCATGTTAGTCAGTTGAGGACAGTGATCTCATCCAAACAGAAGTTACATCTGAGTAGTTTAAGTTAAAAACGGGAGAACGGAGAAGAGAAGATAAATGTCTTCAAAGGGAGAGAAGCTGATGCCATAAACAGTCTGACTTCAGCAGTTACTGATCACAGACGTGTGATGAAGCCAGGCTGAACCTGGGAAACAGCATGTCCACAGGCTGACAGGCGTAGGGCATGGATGGACCAATGTTGCCGTAACTTAGGATGAATCTTTGTTCCCAGTTAGTGAAAATAAATTTTAAAAATAACTTCAACTTTTAACAATAAGTTTCCAGTCCCTTCTATACACTGAAATGTCTGGGTTCAAGCCTGGGGGCGAACGTCCTGTTGGGGAGAGCGTCTACTTCAGGACTTGAACACATGCACGGCCCGCACCACATACTGGCGGCAGATGGGACACTCGCTCATGCGCTTGCCGCACTTGGTGCAGGTGACCATGTGCCCACACTCGAGCAGGACGCAGTCAATGACGGCGTCCATGCAGATCCGGCACAGGCTGTCATCCTCCTCTTCCTGCAGCTGCAGCCGCTCGCCATCTGAAAGGCAACAGAGAGCTAGAACTGCCACCCAACAGGCTGAGCAGCCACCTGAGTGACCACAATAGGCACAGCATGATCCTGCAGTAAGAAATAATCTCAACTTATTTTAATCTATATATTTCCAGGTTTTTTGAGAATTGTTTCTGTAAATAAAAATGAGGAAACGTAGGTTGTCCTTAATATGGGCCTTGGAGTTAGAATACCCGTGGAATTTTTAATCCAATTCCAACTTGGGAAAGTTGCAGTGTCCGGGGCCTCATCTCAGCAGGAAAGAGTAATATTTCCATGGTGAAGTTATGAAGAACTGTGCATCAAATAGCCTATAGTTGAATGAAGCCCCAGACTCCAGCCTTGGAAGCATCTCAAAAGCTACCGATGTTTCTGGCCACCTTGGTACTGCTGAACTGTAACTGAAAAGGGTTGTGGGCCTTTTGTGGCTCTGTGGCCCAGATTAGGTTTTGAGAAAATCCAGAATCTGAATAAGAAAGGCGCAATATTGAATTCTGAAAGTTCACAGCCTGCCTGCCATGACTGGGATGACTGACTCAGTTGGAGCGCCATGGTATAATATATACCAAAGGGCTGTGGGATCAATCCCTGGTCAGGTCACATATGGAAGACAATCAATCCATGTTCTTATTCTCTCCCTCTCTCCCCCCCTATAAAATTAATAAGTATATCCTTGGGTGATGATTAAAAAAAATTTTTTTTAAGTTCACAGCCTGAGATTTGGCCCTATAGTCATAGATGTTGAGGCTTCCATTTTTTCATGTCACAGAAAGGATCAGTGAGAATCATGAATATGGTTTGGAGGGACAATTCAAGGTTGAAAAAGTTAGTAATCCCTGGATTTAAGAGAAATAAACATTGTCGCAGAAATAAATTTGACTTGTAACAGAAACAGCCTAGCTCTTCAAGTGTAAGGAAGGATACCACAGGGGAAATAGGAAAAAAGAAACCTACATGACTTTTGGTTTTCTTCATTCTCTTTGTATAAGCGGTTTACTTTCTCTACCAGCTCCCATTTTTCACAACAGCCAGAATAGTTGACAAAATTCCGAGCCAGGATTTCCTTCAGCTGGCGCACACTCATCCCTTCCACATCTTCAAGGCTTGACAGGTCAGACAGCGAAGCTCTCAATCTCTTCTTGGAGAGGCCAGGCGCCTGAAATTATACAGCAATTTAATACCTCTTTTCCTTCCAATTCAGACCTCCCACAGCAAGGAAAATGACATGTTCTCCTCACCCTTCAGACATCACTTCCCAGATTTCTTGTCCTTAAAGTATCCTATATCATAAAAGGCTAATAATATGCAAATTGTCCCCTTGGGAGTTTGACAGCTCGCTATGATGTGTGTTGACACCAAGGAGTGGCGCAGAATGAAGGAAGGCCCCAACCAGCCCTGATCACCAGCCAGCCAAGCCTATTTCGTGCACCGGGCCTCTAGTTATATAAAGTGCTACGTTCAAACCTCAATACATATCCTCTGCTAATCAGCAAAATGTACATGGGCCTTTTCCTGCCGACCAGGTTGGCATGTCAGGAGACTGAATTTCATAGGAGCTCTCACCCGTTCCTCCAAGTTGTCTTCTTCCTCATCATCATCGTCGTCATCATCATCATCATCGTCGTCGTCGTCATCTTCTGTGTTTGCTGATGCTATTTCACTTTGTACCTATATGCATAATGGATCTGGTTATGTCAGAAATCAGACCTTTCCACAGACCTTCCCTAAGAATGCCCCCAACAATGGGCATATTCCATGACTTCTTTGGATCCTGAATGCTTCTGCTCATTCCAAAGAGTTGGGCCCTCCATGATTTCATCAACATCTTCACTTCCATAAAATTATCTCAAAAGTCAAATCCTAAATATGTGTGAATTTATAAAACTTAATTAGAACCTCCTGAGGACAGTCCCATCATTGGACCATAGGCCAAAGACATAAACACTGAGTCATCATCAAAGGATCTACCTACATATAGCTGGTTTAAACCTCTAAAATATAGGTAGAAACTAAAGCTCTAAGGTCAGTGCAAGTGTCGGGAGAAAGATCTCGATACTAATTCCAAAGAATGGTTTATAGACTTCTTCACTGATGGCTGATACTAGTTCTAGTTTTTAGAAATTCCTTAACAGTCAGTCAGAGGCACTCTTCTCTTTAGGCAAAACAGAAATCCATTTGATTTATATACCTTCTTTCATATCTTTCTCTTTTTCTTAACCATAGCTCTACAAAAGTCAAGGTTGGTTCTATTTCAAACATTCAACTTCACTAGGAGAGTATTCAGCACTGGTACTTTGAAATTAACAAATAACCACCTTTGTTCACTAATTCAATGTTTTTTTCCCCATGATCCAAATTAGGACACTTACTGCAGCAAGGCAACTAGGCATTAGGTTAACTTACACTACTGTTTCCATGGTCACTGACACAGTCTTGCAAATGTTTATATACGACTTTTCACAGTTATTATTTAACTATATAAGATAGGGAAACTGAGGTAACTAAGGTCAAGAAATTGATGAGTTATTTAGGGGCCTTCAAATTGCTGACTTTGGGGCCACCTAGCACCTAAGCTTGGAAACTCACATCAGGAGGCTTATAAGGGCAAAGTTCAGCAGTGTGTAGAACCTCTGCTCCCATTAGGAGGCATCAACCTCTAAAGGTCCCACCAAGTGTAGACATGCCGGGCCCTTGGGGTAATTCACAATCATACCTGTGCCAAGGCTCCAGATCCTAAGGTCTGGTCTCTACCCATTAGTTCTTCCTGAAATGAAGACATGGTAGCAGAGGGGGCTGTGTAGCTTGAAAAATATGAATGTGTAAAAAAACTAGAATTCTGGGATCTTGAGGAATTCAGACTGCTGGTGTCCAGGTCGTCCTCAGAGCCCAGCCCATGGTGGCACAGCACTAAATCTACCAAGTCTTCTTTCTCTCGGCAGGTATCAATGGGTATGTTTCTAAGAATGAGATACTGCCGCAGATCCTTCACTTTCAGTCGCATTAACTGAGGGCGCTGAAAGGCTGTTTCTTGTAATAAGTGACAGGTGGAACATCTACGAAGATTTTCTTGTAAAACTGAGCAAACAGAGCAAAAATCCTTCTTGCAGTCACAGCATACGTGCTGAGGAAACATAGAAAAGAAGTATTTAATGATAGCCAGCTATGACCCCTTGTGAAAGTACTAGTTTTCTTTTTTTTTTTTTTTTTGCCTTCTTTTAACATTTAATTATATTTCTTATGAAGTGTTCTGTGGCACCAGACTATTCTCACAGGTGTTTTAATATTCCAGAAGCCATGAAAATAAAGGACAGTCACTGCCAAGGCAGTTTGGATTCACAGAAGTTCAAATACAGCCCTTAAAAAACAACATACACTCTTGTGTTAATGAATTAAAACCTTTCCACCCCTTGGGGCAAACATGCAATTAGCAGAACAGTGCTGTCTGGAACCACACGGAGCAGAAAGCACAACCACAAACTTTTTTTATGGGAACAATTTCCATTTAAAGGGAAGCAGAGGAGGAGGGTGCGCATAACACAAAGAAAGAAAAAAGCAACTGATCTCACAAGATCAATCCAAGCAAACAGAGGACCACACTAATGCAGTAATCTTTACCCTACATAGCCTTAATCGCAGTCAAAGCCATTCCACTAGCAAAACTTAAAAGTGGACACTAAGATGAGATTATTTCCACTTGCTGCATTGTTCTCACAAGCTTGTTCCTTAAGTATTTTAAAGGACTGGATTGAAAATAAAAGATTGTGAGAACCATTGTATGATGGTTTTCAGAAAGAACAATTTTAACCAAGTGTTTTATATGGAGCAGTAGTTACCTTAATACATTTATTTCTTCACTTGAGTTAAGAATATGGTTAGGGATATATTTTTTGAAACTTGAGGTCAGAGTATATATGCAGTAAATTATCTCTGAACAAAAGTGTAGACTAAATCTCTTGCTTCACAACATAAGCATCATTAGGAAGAATCAAGGTGTATAAACAGGTCAAAGTTCATGAGAAAGGATGCTTGAGCAACATGACAAGTAACAATGTCTAGTCAGAAAACTTGAACAGTCATTTAGTCCCTCCAACTGAGTACTTTCCTAAATGGGAAATGATTAATAGGACTAACTTTTTGGTATTTTTATAAAAAGAAATGAATACTCAGTATTCAAAATTACATACAATCAATAATTTTGATGTCTTTTGTATATAACATTATCTAACTCACCTTCTTTCTGAAGACTGAAAATGCAAGTCCACAGGCTTTGCAAACTACATTAGGCCCTTCAGTAGGCGCTGGTGGGTAAGTAGTGGAAAAATCAGAATTTGGTGTAAATCTGAATGGACCGGTGCTTCCGGTGAATCCTGCCTGCTGGCCCCTGACAGCTCCAGTTCCCATGACTTCATTCAGCAGTCCACAGCATGAAGCCCACATAGATGTGGCACCCGCCTGGAAAGGAATATAAGAAGGAACCAGATTAAAGCTAAGTGGAACCTGGGCTCTCTGAGATCCTCAGGGAATGCCATTCTGGAGAGGTATATTTGCCCTAAATAACTTTGAGATTATTCTTTAAATTTTTTAATTTTTATTGATTTCAAAGAGGAAGAAAGAAACATCAATGGTGAGAGAGAATCACCGATTGGCTTCCTCATGCACACCCACTACTGGGGATTGAGCCCGAAACCTGAGCAAGTGCCCTTGAGCAGAATTGAACTGGATCCTTCAGTTTGCAGGCCAACGCTCTATCCATTGAGCAAAACCAGCTAGAGCTGAGATTATTCTTTAAAGTGTCAAAATTTTAAGCTATTTGGAAAGATAACTTTCTGGTATTTACAAATAATATTTCCCATTGGGGATACTCATAAGAACTACCCATTTTTTTCTATGTGCTGAGGCAGATTTTCCCAGCCATCATTTAGCAGAAAGAATATAAATTCAAATACTTAATTTCATTAAACTTCCGTTCTCATTTGTAGCTGGGCATAATAAACCATGGCATAAATTTTTTGATTAAAAAAAAAATGACTAGGAATACATAAAAATGCCAACTGAGTAAAGCTCTTTTAAGTTTTTAATGTATCTTTGTATAATTTATTTTCTTGAGTTTTTCTCTACCTCCCAAAATCTTGAAAAATAATATATTAATTGGACATTAAGGAAAATATTTTTAAAAGCAGTTATTCTACTTTTTGTTGTTGTTGTTAATCCTCACTTGAGAATAATTTTTTCAATTGTTTTTAGTGAGAATGAAAGGGGAGAAGGAAGAGGAGAAACATCCATGTGAGAAAGACACATCCATTGGTTGCCTACCCCATGCACCCCTTACCAGGGCCTGGGATTGAACCTGCAACCCAGGTACATGTCTTTGATTGGGAATCGAACCAAAGACCCTTCAGTATGAGGGCTAACACTAACCACTGAGCAAAACCAGTGAGGGGTATTCTATCTTTCAAATGGAAAATACTGAACACTAAATGTATGGGCTATCTGCCACCCCACTAAATGGCCTGAAAGTAGTGTACTGCCTTTTATGTCTTTTTTCTTTCACCTCTTCCCTTTCTGTGAACCATAAACTGCTATCACTATACCTACCTAGTAATCTGTATCCTTTTTTACTGCAGACTCAGAAATCCAATAACCAAGCTTGTTAGAAATATATATACCATGTGTGTGCGCGCGCGCGCGCGCGCGCGCGCGCGCGCGCGTGTGTGTGTGTGTGTGTGTATGTATATATATATATATATATCCCCCCCCCTTCAGTGAGAGCTCAAGGTATTTTCCCATGCTTAAAGTAGAAAAGCTATGATGTTTGGAACCAATGTTTGTCCCTTGACCTAATTCTAAAGCATATCGTAGACTCTGGATAAGTGACAGGTAACAGAAGTCCAGTTAAGTGAGATCTTATGCGTTAAATACCAGCACATGACCTGGCATAGTTCATTTATTTATCTAACTTGTTCAAACATTTACTGTTTGTCTAACAAGTTCTTTAAAAACTTTAAAAAAACAATTTAAAAAGACTATTTGAGATGCTATAGAGGGATCATACTATTCTTGCTACTACCCAGAAGTAATCCATAATAATAAAAGCATAATACGCAAATCAACTGACCGACCAAACAGCAAAAACAACCATCCAGACAACCTTCCAGATGACATTCCGGACAGAGGCAGCAGGGGCTGCATGGGCCCCCACATCTGGGGCTGCAAAGGCATACCCGTACACGAATTTCATGCATTGGGCCTCTAGTATGTTATATTAAATATAGGGAAAGGAGAAGGTAAAGTAGTAAGAAACCACAATACAAGATTCAAACAATCTTAAGTATCAGGGTCACTGACTTAAGTATTTTATAGCTTCATACCCTGTAATTCTCAAGAAACAGTGATGCCTTTAAATGTCCAGTTAAATTATAGTTAATAGTTCATATCTTTAAATATATACTTTAGCGTCATGGTTTGCTTAAACATAAGAGGATGATAATCCAGATTTACTAACAGTCATTAAAAGTATTTTTTTTAATTGATTTTAGAGAGAGGGAGAGAAAGAGAAAAATCCATATGAGAGAGAAACATCAATCGGGCCACCCTAACCAGAGACAGAACCCTAGTTAAGTGCCCTGATTGGGAATCGAACCCACCACTCTCTGGTATACAGGTCAACTCTCCAACCAACACAGCCACACCAGCCAGTGCTAAAGTGAGTATTCTTTTACCAGAGGATTCCATCTACAGTGCTTTAAAAGGTAAGCGCGCGCTCACGCGCGCTCTCTCTCTCTCTCTCTCTCTCTCTAAATAGTAAGCTCTTAAAACAAGTAAAATGTTGTTTTAAATTTTTTAATTTGTACATAACATTTTGGGGGAGTTATACATAACTCAACTGTAGACTATACCACCAGAATAAACTTTTCTTCATTCCAGAAGTTTAAAGAAGTAAAGCTTTTTTTTAAAAGCTTCAGCTTCCTGCTAACCTAATTACTAAAAAATTAAACAGCTATATTAGCTTTTATCCCTGATTTCTGGAGGATGTCTTTCCAACTCCAGTAAATGTTCCTTATGGATAGAACTTTTTTCCACTGCATCTATAGTTCTGCCATCATGACTCTTGATAAATAATTGTGTAAAAGGTTTCTTTATATTACCTCTTGAACAGCAATGTTGTTCAATATATATTTAAAAATTTAATATATATATATTTAATATATATTATTTAATTATATATTTAATATATATTTAAAAATTTCATGTTACCCAGAAAGTTCAAATTGTTTTAATGAGAAAAAATAATAAAGTAAAAAATGACTCTGACCAACAGGCTAAAAATCTCAAATCCAAATCATACTCCCTTTTAAAATCAGCACTGCCACACATTGTGTTCTTTCAGAAATCAGTTGTATAATAGATTACAGAATACGAATTTCCAAACCACGATCATTTAAAATTCTAGGCTGAAAATATTCGCAGTTCAGGTGAAGAGAAGAGTTTACTTTGGGAAAACAGGTGGAATCTCTGTGTAGACATCAATATTGGAGGGTAATAATTTTGTCCCATTCCTCATGTTTCTATAAAGGGGATGAGATTTCCTCTGCATTCACCAGAAGGAAAAATAATGAAAAGATCACTTCTGTCTTCTTTTGGCTATGTCATCATAAAATAAAAATTTAAAAACAGGCAAAAATATGTTGCTACACCCTATTATTTGGTACAACTCAACCAAAAATCAGAGCACAGGGAAAGAGGAAACACTGAAAAATCTAGGTGTTGGCCTCATTAGATCAGTGAACTCAAATTTGGACAAAATCTCCCAATAAGAAAATAATCTTCCAATAATACTCTTAGCACATCCTGAGGGTAAATCTGCCTACATATACTGTTAGCCTCTGACAGTAGTGTTTGCAACACTCCAGCCTTCCTGAAAGGTCTGAAATTTAAAAGTGAAAGCCTCAGTCACTAGTTTGTTTTTAATCCTATCTATTTATGGACTTTTTAGAGAGAGAGAAACATTGATCAATTGCCTCCTGTACGTACTTCAACTGGGGATCAAACGTGCAACCTAGATATGTGCCCTGACCAGGAATAAAATCCATAAACGAGAGCCACCCGGTTGGGGCAGCTCAGTCACTAGTTTTATTCAAAGTACCTTTCCCCAGTTACCATATCTGGTAGAGAAATAGCCAAAAAGCTTCCACTTTTGCACCCTTCCTTTAAAAGCTTCAGAGACCCAAGTTCTATCCTATCTTCCCTCTCCTCTAAAATCTTCCTTCCCTTATATTTTTAAATTCACTCTCTACTTATCTTTTAGTAACAAGCATGAAGCTTTTCCCAAACGACTACATTTCCTTAGAGATTCTCTGAACAAACCCAATTTCCAGACAGTACACAAGGCACAGACCTTTGGCTTTTGAATTTTTAGTAAATTCACCGAGTTGTTTCTCTCCCTCAATTCCAAAGAGGTGTACTGCTGAAGTAAGGGTCACAAAACTTCTAGCTCAAGGAATTTAGCTATGTTTGCAATTTACTTTCTAGTCATCAACAGCTACTGAAAACAAATGGCTTTCTTTGATAATCCCTTTTCTACACAACCCCTTCAGCCAAAGTTGTTCCTGAATAGATTATCCTAGGGACCATGGCCTTGCTTATATCAATTAAGAACCAGATATCATATTAAAAATCTAACATGGGCCTAGTAAGAGATTAAATACCACAGCCTCCTTTCTGGACTGCCAGATACCTAGATCTCATGTTATTCTGACATTCGATGCCAGTTTTGGTATGTATTTTTTCCCCTAAAACCATTGTTCCAAGATTTATTTTTAAATATATTTTTATTGCTTTCAGAAAGGGAGAGGGAGAGAGAATATCAATGATGAATCACTGATCTGCTGCCTCCTGCACACCCACCAGGGACCTCGCCTGCAACCCAGGCATGTGCCCTTGACCTGAATCGAACCGGAGACTCTTCAGTCCACAGGCTGACGCACCATCCACTGAGCCAAACCAGTTAGGGCTGCTCTAAGATTTTTGAGGGCCAATAACACTCCCTTTTTTTCACTCCTAATTTGGAACTAATCCTATATAATAAAAGCCTAATATGCTAAGTTTCCAGTCATCCAGTTGGCCATTCAACCAATCAAAGTGTAATATGCTAATGAAATGCTAAGGCTGCTCAACCACTAGCTATGACATGCACTGACCACCAGGAGGCAGACACTCCCACAGTAGGTTAGCTTGCTGCTGGGATCCAGCAGATTGGGACTGAGCGAGATGGGCCAGACATGCCCTGGAGCCCTCCCCCAGTCCCTCCCTGGCTGGCCAACCTCCCACGTCCCTCCCCGGCCCGGATCATGCAACCATGGGGTCCCTCAGCCTGGCCTGCACCCTCTCACAATCCAGGACCCCTGGAGTATGTCTGAGAGCAGGTTTTGGCCTGATGGCGGAACTGGTCAATATGATATGCAGCACTGACCATCAGGAAGCAGACACTCAATGCAGAAGCTGCCCACTGTGGTCAGTGCACTTCCACAGGTGGAGCACTGCTCAGCCAGAAGCCAGGCTCATGGCTGACAAGCACAGTGGCAGTGGTGGGAGCCTCTCCCTCCTCTGCAGCAGCGCTAGGGGCACTCCCTGAGGGCTCCTGGACTTGGGTGCAGGCCAGGCTGAGCGGCCTGAGTGCACAAATTTTGTGCACCGGGTGTCTAGTTAAAAAATAAGACAAACAAATTTAAATGTTTGCTTACTTACTAACTAGAAGCCTGACGCACGAATTTGTGCAAGGGGCTTGGTCCTCGCAGCTGTGGTGGCTTGCCTCAGCCCTCACAGTCTCAGTTTTGTCTGGAAGGTTGTTCCAGAAGGATATTTGGAAGGTCATTTAGCTGTCCAGTCTAATTAGCGTATTATGCTTTTATTATTATAGAATACCAATTGGAGAACATGACTTTAGCTCTGCAGCCAATTGGTTTTGATAATAGAATACCCCAGCTGACTAATAGCAGCTTACCGTCTAGTTGACCATACTCCCATCCCCTCATAGGAAGACAGATCAGACAAGTCCCAGAAAGGACTGAGCTAAAGCATGTGTAGTTAGTTCATTTGCTAAAACTCACCAACCCAAAAACTGCTTTTTTCCCTCTGGTAGTAGAAAGGCTGGAAGTGTTCCTCCTATATTGTTCCTTAAGAATGAATTAGAAATTTCCTCCCCTCAGTAGAAGTATAAAGGAGAGAAATGGTGCATGAGAGGGGAATTGACAAGATTCCAGGACTGTGATACTTTTTTCCACAACAATAACAGACTACCGATTTTATAAGCACTCTCCTATTTCTCAGTCAGATTCACACAATATAAGCTCATTCTGAATCATCATTTTAGTCAACAAAGCAAGAGCAGCAGCCTATCCTTCTTTCTGACAAATGTCAGTTTTCAAATGGCCTCAACGTTCAGCTGTCTTCGATTGTGTTTATAACCTAATAGGCTCTTAGAATCCCTATGGTGGGGAAATACTTCCAAAATTTAAAGAATTAACAAAAAGTTTATTACAAAATTTGAAACCTAGACTACATTAGTATATGATGCCTTTTAATGATTCCTCCAAATGTAATAGTAACCAGGCAAACTAAAATAAAGAGTAAGAAAGGTTGCCCTGATTTCAGGGATCAATTTTACAGTGAATTATAGAAGAATGGTTAGAGTGTGGTCCCAATATGCTTGGGTTGTGGGTTCTTTCCCTGGTCTCAGAGCACATATAAGAATCAACCAATGAATGCATGATTAAGCGGAACAACAAGTTGATGTTTTCTCTCACCCTCTTAAAAAAAATTAAAAATAAAAATAAAAAAGGTTTCCTATGTGTCCATTTTACTTTTTATCCAATCCCAGGGATTTCCCTGCTTTGCCCTCTCCCACCTCTCTAGTCTATCACCTATGGATTTCATGTAAGCCACCTATGTCCCTTTCCTTTGATTACAATGTATAAATACAGATGTAACCTGAGCATTATCTCAGTTCATTGAGATTCTGCTAAGTCCACACTGGCTCAAATAAACTCACAAAAATTCAAAAAATAAAAATAAAAATGGAAAGCTATGGCGGTTTCCATGAAGATAAAATGATAGCCAAATACAGAGAGTCAGTGGGTTTGAAAACAGCAGAAAACTAAATAATTATGTGGTAGGCAGTTAGATAGATATGATCAGAGCAAAGACGATGAGCCAAAGCCAAATATAAGTCAGGGGGGGAGGGAGGGGAATAAGCCCTGGGTGCCTAACTATGTGCAAAACTGGAAAAACAAGGACCTCACTGCCCCAGGGTAACCTTTCTTAATCACTAAGTTTGGACCCCTGACCTTTCATATCATTGGTCACGCGGCCTGCATCGTCCCCTGACCTTTCCTCCCCTGGCATGTCCATAGTCACACAGTAGACCCTTCTAGAAGAGGAACAAGGAGACAAAGAATGGCCTCTAATACAGGCCCTTGCACAACCACTCCCTTACACACTAACCCGCATTAACTCTAACCCCTAGGGATAACAACCAGGCCTCAGTTGCTTTAGCTCCAGGCTCAGAAAAGCTGCAAAACCTGACAAGCGATGCCAGGGCTAACATCAGGACCAGCTGCATTGAAGAAGACCATGACTCTGAAAGGATAAACCTGGAAAGTTGATGAATATTCTATTGGGACCTCCTCTCAGATCCATGCCTCTAGAGAGACTTCCTTCCCTCTTTCTATAGAATACATCCCCCTTTCTCCACACCCCTTTTCCTGGGCACACTTTCCTTTCAAATACCCTTCTTTTGCCCCTTTAACTTGTTTCTTGAGCCCATTTCCTCTACAGGTCACTTCTACTTGTGACTTGTAAACTTCCTTAACCCGAACTCAAGTACTGAGGTTGCTGAACCAAGGTCTAGTCTGATTCCACCGTTCTAACACCTAATTCCATTTTGCAAAAATTATAGTCTAAATCATTTGCTTTTGATTAAACTAGGTAAGCAGCAGTAATCATAATGCCACCTCCTAAGAGCTGCTTGCCACAACTCTAAATTAAATATGGTAATACTTTACAGATATTTTAAGAATAACTCTACAAATTTTGAATTAAGAACATTTTCTTGGATATTGTAAGTAACAAAGACCAGGCAGGGATTCAGTTTTCCACCAGTGAAAGTTTCCTCAGAGAATTCAACCACTGTAGATTTTGTTTTAAACTCCAAATAACCTTCAATTTGCTAAAAATTCAATTCCCTGTATTTAAACTATATGCAAAGATATTTCAAATCTTGAAACCAGTAAATATAAAACAATGTTTTGCAGTTTCAATTTCAGCTGGGTTAAACTTTCCAGTAGAACTAGAGCAAAGCAGAAGAAACAGTTGAGATAATAAACAAAAATACTGATCCTATTTAGAACCACTTGAGAAAAATATGCTCCTTAAAATGTGAAAGGATTTTTTGAAACTGCTGCTTCAACTGAAAAACAATATACAAGGAATTCTACTACATTTTTGACCAAATATCAGACCATATACAACCGAGGAGGAAAATTTACCTACATCCTAAATTATTTCTTCATACCATTTGGACATTAAGAGGTTGCAAAAACAGATATTAATCTTAAAATTTTAATATTTTTAGGTAAGACATTTGGTCACATTGATAGTTTTACAATAATGTGTGCTGGAGATCATACCTTCCTCATGTTTGGGTTTTGTTTTCTTTTTCTAAAACAGTGTACTTGATCCTTAGCACCACTCCCCCACCTTTCAAAGAAAAAAAGGAAAGAAAATTATAGTCAATATATTACTTTCTCCTTGATATCTCATTTTGAGCATGGAAGAATTAACGTGATTAATATCATTAAGGAAAGCTGAGGTCTATATAAATCTAGAAAATCATGAAGAAGGATTAAATCAAATTAACATAGGACACCGATTTTGTTTTAAATCCCTTATGAGTTAATTACATGCTACTCTAAGGTTAAATAGTTACTTGAGTCTTGAGAGGTAAAACCTATTTCAAAACAAACGAATTAAAGGAAGAAAGTAAATACACATTCCACACATACACTAAAACCAGTTGCTCCTGGGTTTGAGTGATGTACTTTATCTGATTGCTTTGCTTTCAAAATAATTTTAATTCCACTGGAAGTAAGTACTTGCTTAAATGAACGTTCAAATGTTAGATTTCCATGACATCAGGAATCTCTGGACCCTGCCCAGAAATCCCTCTAATTAAACAATTTCAATATAAAACAAAATTAAATAAATAGCTCAAATCCTAAATTTTGTGTATCGTTTTCACAAAAACATAAATGAAATGCCGGATCTTCATAATGTTATCTTGTTCAAATTGAAGTCCATTTAGATCCACTTCATGAAATATATTTTTTCATCTTCAACCGCCACCAAACTTTGTTTCTAAAATTTCAACTCAGAAAGCTGTATCTTCTACCTAAATTTTAAAAAATCATTTCTGTTTTTAAAGTATTTGATTAAAAATTCAACCCTAATACCTTCTACATCTAGTTCCTTGATGGACCACAAATTTAATACTAATAAAGATACTGATGTTCTTTGAGGCATTCTATCCATAGATCCCCGTTTTTGGAAGATGATGGTTTTCATAAAAGCAAGCTAGTTTTAGACATTTTAATAAGTATTCTAAGTTGAAATATTGTATAACTAAAGCTGGAACTTAAAAATAAGCTCCTAAAATGGCCCCATACTTTTAACACAAGTTCAAAAGTTACCTATTCCAAAATTCCTCCTTGCTTCCTGCAGCCAGAAATCCCCTTTCTTGCTCTTGAAGGTTTCACTTTCTTTTTCATTCTCATAATGTAGATACTTGCAAATGTCTCTTCCCTTTTGGACTGGCAAACTTCTAAAGGGTGGGATTGTGTTTAATTCAACTTCTACTAACAATATCTCCCTCCTGACACATAGGAAATGTTTGATAAAATATATGTTGAATTTCTCCGGCTACTGGACACTCCCTTATCAGTCTTCCACAGTAAATCTATGAGACTTTGTGTAGGTCCAGTCCTAAACCAGCCGCCCATTCTGTTAGCTTTCTTACCGCATCAAGCACCTCTCTTCATGGAGATGAATGAAATCGGCTTATGTCTCAAATGGGGTATCATCACCACCTTATGACTCATCCCTCTTGGTTTGAGTTCGGGCAAATGAATCAATACCTGAATTGACTATCGTACACGGAGGGAGCGCTTGACAATTCTCAGCTCCCCCAAAAGTAGGCCAGAACCTGCCCCCTTTCCCTTCAACTTCTCACTCAGGGATGCTCCCACGCTCTCACACCCACCTTGAAGAACTCAAGCTGTCAAATTACTTGCTGCGTACCTACTGGCGATGCAGACACATCCAGTTTGCTAGCGCTTTTAGATCTCGGCCCCCAATGTTAAACCTACGGGGGAGGGAAAAAAAAAAAATCCTTCGGGGTGGAATCCCGGGCCCGAGACATTTCTAACCTATGAGCCTGGTCCCAGCCTCACGGCTCCCCGCATCACTCCTTTCCTCTTCATCCTGCAGTTTTGGTCCTGCGACAGTCCCGTGGTTCCCGACAGTTGGGTTAGTTCAAGGACTCGGGGCGGGCAAGGGCACGCTGTGGGCACAGCCGCGAGGGCTGAGGCGGCGAACACGAGTGGGTCTGCCTGTCTCCGGCCCCCGAGGGCACGGAGCGGGCCCCGCGCAGAACGAAGCCCTGAGGCGTGAGCGCAGGGGGCGCCCGGCCCCTCCCCGCGCTTCCTAACCTGAGGGAGTTGGAGAGATTGGGGAACCCAGGATTATCTGTCGTGGATCGGTCATGGGACTCAGATGCCGGGCGGCCAGGTTCGCCCCTCAGCGGAGGTCTCTGGAGAGGTGCCGCCGAGGAGAAAAGAAAGCGATTCGGACGCTCTGGCCGGATAGGAGAGACGGGGAAGGACTGCCCGGCTCCACCGGTCCCTCACCTTCATGGCTGCGACCGCCGCGTACCGGTCGGCTCCCGCCGCAAACTCAGCACCATCACAGCTCCTCGAAGAGACGTGCTCCTTCCCTTCTGGACCGCGATTACGGTGCCTCCGGAGGCGGCCGAGCGTCCGGACGTAAGAGGCGTGGTTACGGCCGCCGCGCGCCCCCCGGGAAGAGCGCCGAGCGGCGGCCAAGTTGACCAATCCAAAGCCGGTACTCCGGGGGCCGGTCACCAGAGCCAATCAAGTAGCGGGAAGGGGGCGGGGCCTCTGGCGGCAGCTGGGTGGGCGGTAGAGAGCTCCATCCGGGCTTGAGCGGCGAAGGGCGGATCTGGGCGTGGCCGGAGGCTTTCTCTCGGCGGTTTTCCATCCCCTGAGGAACCGGTGCGGCTGGGATTTGGCTGTGGGTCAAGTTCCCCAGGGCGGGAAGAGGCGTGGTACTTTTGAAAACGCCGGTAGGTTTGCAGGCCTTTGTTCTAACCGTCAGAGCGGGGGCCTCAGATTTCCTCTCGAGACTTTGGAGCCCCTCACCCTGAGGTAATGACCTCGGGTCTCCTCAGCAGAGGGTCCGGGGAGCGGCGGCAGCTGCGCACGCAAAGACGCCGTTTTAAAACGGCTTTGTTGGAAACACTTCAATGAACGGTTCTCAAATCCCAGCTGCTCTTTTTAGAGCGATGTTCAAAACGACCAAATTCTAGCGTAATGAGAGAATTCGGGTGAGCCCTTGGAGTTGAGTTTTTTGGTGTTTTTTTTGTTTTGTTTCAAACAAGTGAGTAAATTATTCAGCTTGACCGGATGACACTCAGTTTGGTTTCACTACACTCGTCCCTCTTCCCTCCAACTCAACCAATATTTTAAATAAGAGACATGAAGATGCCGAGTCACTTGTCTTACGGACCTACTAGTAAGACTGTTGTATTCCTTTGTACCAGGCTTGCTTATTTATATTAGAACACCAATCCACGCCAGTTCTGTAGGCTGAAATGATACTTAATTTTTAGCTTGCTTTTCTTGCTTCATGCATTGATTTATCCAATAGAGTCCTGGATTTTTCCTCTTTGCAAACATTTTCAAGAAAGCCTTTCTTCACCATGTAAGAGTAGTCGCTGAGCTTCACTGGAAGAGAGTATTAGTTTTAATGATCTAGGCTCAAAGAAACTCAGTAAAAACTTGCTAATGGTACAAAGCCATATTTCTCATTAGGATGCTGGCAGGTCTAGCCCAAGAGTTAATGACTAACTGCATGAAAAGAAACTCAACATCATTAGCCATCAGGGAAAATGCAAGTCAAAACCGCAATGATATACCACTCCATACCAATTAGGATGGCAAAAATAAAAAAGACAGATAAGTGTTGTTGTGGATGTGGAGAAACTGGAACTTTAATACATTGCTGATGGGACTGTAACATGGGGCAGCTGCTTTGGAAAACAGTCTGGCAGTTCCTCACAATATTAAGCATGAAGTAATCATATGACCCATCAATTCCATGCGAAGGTATAAACTCAAGAGAAATGAAAATATCCACACACACAAAAAAAAATCCTCGTACATGAATGTTTGTGCAGTATAATTATAGTAGCCCCAAAGTGGAAACAACCCAATGTCCATTATTTAATGAATGGATAAATAAAATGTGGTCTAGCCATACAATGGAATATTATTTAGCCAAAATAAGAATGAAGTACTGGCCCTGGCCCAGTAGTTAGGTTGGTTAGAGCCGTGGTCGGCAACTGTGGCTCTTTGGCCCCTTAAAGTGTGGCTCTTCCACAAAATACCATGGTGTGGGCTAGTCTGTTTTGAAGAATTGGTGTTAGAAGAAGTTTAAAAATTTTGGCTCTCAAAAAAAATTTCAATCGTTGTACTGTTGATATTTGGCTCTGTTGTTAGTGTTGTTTCCCATATGTCAAGGTTGCAAGTTGGATCTCTGGTCAGGCAAATACAAGAAGCATCTGTTATTGTAGACAGAGGGAGTACCCGGGAGTCTCTCCCATTGGCCAAAAAGGCGGCAGGTGGAGGTGCTCCATAGAGTCAAACTGGACCCTCCATCCAGAGGATATTAATCTGGAGTCTCAGGGAGGATCTCAGTAGAACATTCATCAGCTTTCCAGGTGTGTCCTTTCAGGGTCGTTATCTCTACTGGTTCGTCGGCGCCAGGGCAGAGGGAATGACTCAATGTAGCTGGTCCTAATGTGAGCCATGACGTTGCTTGTCTGGTTTTGCAGCTTTTCTGGGCCTGGAGTTGAAACACATCTGAGGCCTACGTGTACTGGATGCGGGTCAGAACCTCATTGTCCTAGGAGCTTAATGCTTAAGGGCTTTTTTCAGCCTCTTTGTTTGTTCCTCTTCTAAAGGAATCTAACCCTCATGACTAGAAACATGCCACCATGGAGGAAAGGTCAGGGGAGGGTCCGAATGCTTTGACCAGTGATATGCTGGTATGACCGGTGATATGCTAGGGGAGAACAGTTACCCTGGGGCAAGGTCCTTGTTTTCCCAGTTTTGCTTGCTGCTAGGCACACCCTGGTGACCTTCTGTACTTACCCCCATCATCCTTGTTCTGCTCATGCCTATCTAACTGCTTACCACAATTCCATAAATGTGAAATGTCCAGAATAGGCAAATACATAGAGACAAAAAGTAAGGTAGCAGTTGCCTAGGATTGAGGGATTGAGGGAGGGGTGTGGAAATGGAATTGATGGGGACAAGGTTTCTTTGGGGAGGTGATGAAAATG